AGTCTGCTGCTGGTTTATGGCCATGGAACAAACGTGTTAAATACCTGGTCATCTGTATCTTGTTTGTGGTGTTTATTTTTTTTAATTCATACTGTTGCCATACTCACTCTGATGTGGGTGGCTATAACACAGGTTCCAGGTTTATAGTCCTCGTTTAGATACAACTAAGATAACAGTGATTGTGATAATGGATAATAAGAGGGGGAAGGCACAAAGACTATTTAAGTTTCCTTTGGAAGAGTGAAGGAAGTGTAAGGAAGGCCTTACTACCTGTCCAGCCTAATATTTTTCATTTTTGTCTCACTTATTTCAAAGAAAAGTTGGAGATAAAGAAGGCAGCTAAAACTTCTGCAGACCTGAAAGGGGGGATATGGGCTACTGTAAAACTGCTGGGGTTTTGGGGAGGTTTTTTTTGTATGTGGTTTTTTTTTTTAATTATTCAACAGTAGATGAGCTTGTTTCTTGTGTGGATAGCAGCAAACTGTTGGTGATAGAAGTAGTTCCCTTACATTGAAAGAGACTGTGTTGTAATGCACGGAAAACTTTCAGAAATATTTCTGGTGTATTTCTGTATGATTAGAAGTCTTGTGTTTTAAACTTCATCTGTCCTATAGGTATTCCAATCCAAACTATCCTATGATTCTATGATATGTGTGTGTATATATGAGTAAAGTTTTTGACTGTACAAGCATCTGGAAAAAAGCAGATGGAGTCAGAAGCTGATCTGTGTGTCCGTAGGAGCACATGCTAGCATGTGGAATAGAAGAGGAATGAATGGAGGAATGTGTTTTGAAAACAGTATTTGAAAACAAATATAAGAATTTCTCTGTTGCCTGTTGTGTGGCTTTGTGTTTCTGTCATTGGCCTTTGATACCCTACGTGTCTTGCTACACTCGCTTAAACCTTCAGTCCAGTAATTGGTGTGTTGAAGAAGGGAGGAAATGCACTGCAGTTAGTCACTGGAGGGCAGTGGCTTGAGGCAGGTGTCATTGCACATGGGAGCATCCCAGGCATTGATTTAGTTTTGTCGCTACAACAGGGTTCAAAATCTGGTGCAATGTCAGGAGATGGTTTACCTACCGATGTGGCATCTAACTGACACAAGCCCCTCTGTCTGCCATGTGTACCTTGTCTGGTGTCTGAAGATGACTTGGCTCTAGCCTCCTCATGCTAGAAGATGTGTGGGTTTTCCAGAGATTCGTTCAAATGTGAGAAGTTTACTAAGCAAAACCTGTGACCCTGCCTATTCTTGGAAAATAGCTTGTGATTGACACCTGTCAACCTCTTCGGTCCAGGTTAGCAGGCACTCTGACAGCTTGAGTAGACACGACTGACTTGTCCATACTCTGTGCAGGAAGTGCCTGACTTTGCTGGCACTAGATAATGAGCCCTCAAGAGACAAGTCAAGTGTGATACAGACTTTGTACATTCTTTTGGAAACCACTCCTTAAATCTGTTTTTGATAGAGCTTGCTTATGCTGTTTATTGATTTAGTAGTGGCATGAATAGAACTTGCTGGGGGGGGAGGGGGGAATAAAAAATAATTTGCCTGCTGTCTGTACTTGGTATTAACATGAGTGCGTTGTTGGGGATATATTACCAGTTGTCTTGGAAGTGGGTGGTTCCTCTGTCTTTCACTTTTTGTGTCTCTTGTCCTTGCTTGTGCTTACTGCTTTTTCATTGAAGAAAAATTTTCCTATTTCTTGGTTATTTTTTGTGTGTAGTCTTTTCCCTTCCTGATCATCTAGCATGTATTTTCTTGCATGCTTTCCTCTTCTAGTTGTGATAACCTCATTAGTCTCTGCTTTCTGTGTCCTTCCCAGAATAATTAACCAACGTGCCTGGCTAAATGTAGGAACTACAAAACTAGATAACCTGGGATTTTTTTTCCACTTGAGGAAAATGCCTCCGGTATCAGCTCAGGTCTCATTGCATTTATTAGCTCCCACCTTCTTATTGCTTGGTAATGGGTACAGGCATTACCAGAATGTTTTCTTGTTTCTGATGCCTAGTGCCACAGGATTAATCATTGCAGTATAGTTATTTGTTTCCTCTGCTTTTTCCTGACTGTACTTTGTTAAAGGTGGGGAGGACTTGGCATACAGAAGATGAGGAACTGGAAGGAGATGGCTTACAGACACAATCCTGTTAAAAAGCAAGAGTATGCTCTTGCTTCTGAAAATATGTTCCTCCTTCTCAGCCTTTATTTGTTGGTGATTCTCCTTGGGTTTGACCTCTGAAGTCCTTACTGAGCTGTGCCTTGCCTTTGTGCTTGTATTGTGTGACTTCCAGTTGGGTTTGAGAGTTGCCTGCAGAGAATGTGCAAGATCATTGAAAACAGCAAGACAGCTGCTTGCAGGCTTGTGTTTCCTGCAGAGGGGCCTGTATTTCGGGAAGGTGCTGGGATAAACGGCTTGTTATAATAGCCCGTCCTTTGTCGGTGCTGTGTAGGAGCATGGTGCTGATGCTTCTAAGCTAACAAACTACTTGCACGGTACCTAGGTGGTTATAACTGCTGTGCAGAGGGAAGTGGGGGTGATAGCATGGAAGTCAGAAGGATATCTGCAGCTGTCTTTTATAGCCAGGGCAATTGGTCCTCTTTGCTTGTTGATATATTTAGCAATGGGGGGTTGAGCGTGCGTTGTGCGATGTATGATTTCTATTTGTGATTGCATTAGCTTCCCTGAAATTTTGTTGGAAGATTTATTTTTCTTAATGCACATTTAACGTATAATAACTATCATTTCTAGATAAATCCTTCAGCTGGTTTTGAGTGAAAGGAAAATACGGTTTTAATATCGTTGGTTAGAAAGAATCCATGTTAAGAGTGGATGGTTTTGTGTGTGTTGTCTGAGTGTACACTGATCTGTACTGCATTACCTTTTTTGCCCTTCTTGGCAGGGAGGGAATGAACTTTTCACATTCAAGCTTTCATGTGCTTCTAATACTTGCAACTACAAAAGCACTTAGTAGTGGTAACCTTTGAACGGTCTCACTTCAGCTAGGACAGTACTGTGTTGTCGCCTGGTTTCTTTGCTTGCCTCTGAATTGCAGGGACTGCCTGCAAATGCTTTGAGTGAGATCCAGGTGGAAATTTCCAGTCTGAAGATGTGGGGGTGAAAAAACCACCTCCAGTTGACAGAGTACATTTCCTTACCTGACAGGCAGCTTTCAAGTGTAAAAGTGCATTATACGATGTTAAAACCAGCCCTAGGGATTAAACTTTGGCGAGATTCAGGAGTAAGCCTTCTTACAGATCTGGAGCATATGTATAGGTCTTGTAAAGATAATCACAGAATAGTGACCTGGGTAGGCTTGATTTTTTTATTTTTACAGCTAACCCATTAAGCGCGATTTCGTTGCTAACACTTGACTGTCCTTCTAACAACCCCACTTAAAGCATGTAATGTATAATACGTCCTGGATACAGAGGTTGTTCCTGATTTTGATCACTGATTAACAGCTGTTGAACAAATATTCCAGTAGCTGGGGTTTACCCTGCATTTGCATAATAATGTGTTTCTGAAATTCAGCTGTAGTAATCCATGCGTCTCCTGTGTGATTGCAGCGAAATTGTGTACTTATCCAGAAACTTCTCTGTAGCAGTCCATACCTCTCCTGTGTGACTGATATAGCAGGCATCTTTGAGATAGGCTTTTTGTTTCCCGAGAAGGTAACTGGATCCAATGGCTTGTGGTTTGCAGCTGGGTGTAATACCATGTGTATTGTTGACTTGGGATCACTTGTACCACTTCAGTGTTTATAGCTGTAGTGCCTATGTGAGTGTTGACAGGTTATTTTCTAAAAATGAATTGTGCCTGTGTACCTTCCTAGCAAATAACTTAAATATGTGGCTTTAGTAGTGCTCTGTACCTACTGCAGCCAGAAGTTTTTTTCTCCGTATCATCACAGAGAACATTGTATGGGTAAGGCTGAACCTTAGGCAGCATCTTGTGCCCACTGCATGCCTTCATCTTCTGTGTCAGAAAAGGTGGAAGGACATGCAACCAAGCCATCTCTGGAGCTGTGACCCTCTGTGCTTTAGAGATATGTGAGACGAGTGAAATAGGTGAAAATCTCCCCTGCAAATGGTTTTGGCACCCTGGCCACTCCTGATTTTCTTTTATGTGAAGCACAGTGATGTAGGAGAGTCGGTGTCCTGAGCCTGAGCTTGGTTCTAGGCTGAGTTGGTGGAACTTGTTCTTCTCAGGCATGCCCTGTCCTGCATCCTACAGTGCCCCGTTCGTATTTGAAGACACTGAAATTGCACAAACTGCTATGAATCTGAGACAAGGTGCCTCTTGAACAGGAAGGGGAACTGAGACAAAGAATTTAGCACTGTAGTGCAGTACTTTGCAAATGCTGTGGTAGGTAGGTGTTCTGAGCATACTGAAGTTTCCAGTTAAAAGCAGCAGAGTGAGCTACAAGTTGGGGACTGAGCAGACTACCTTTGGGGGACAAACAAAGCTTACTCGATGTGGGGGTGAAGAAATTTCACTATGTAAAATGAGCAGGCATAGCTCCAGGGCAGGAATGGGATGTGACAGTTGTCAGTGCACTTCATCCTTGCCGTCAGGCACTGAGAGAATGTTCCAGGGCCTGATAATAATCAAAGGTCAAATGCTAATGCATTTAATCCTTTTTAAAAATCTGGAGGGAATCAAGACCACCTTTGCAGTGCTGCTGACGTTTACCTGTCTCTGCTTCCCCTGGTCAACAGTAACTTGAACATTTGTGTGGAGTCCTGGAATGCTATCCTAACTCATGAAGAGTCACGAGGAGAGTTCTCGCTTTGCCTGGCAAGGTCAGCTAACTAGCTGTCATTCAAGCTGACCTGTGTGCTATCTGAGCTGCAAACAAGTTCCCATGGTGGCTGGTTGCCAAAGCGGAAAGGGATTGTCTGGGACATGCCACTGGCTCTTAGGTGACTTGAAACTGTTTGCAAACTTATTCCTTGACCTCTTGCTTCCTCCTCCCCCCCTTTTTTTCTTTCATCTTTCAGCACTGAAAGAGATCAGTCATGGCGGGTGATGCCATCATGGTCGTGAAAGGCTTGACAAAGCTTAGTAAAGCAGTCCTAGAAACTCAAGCAGGACAGCTTCGGCAGATGCTTTTTGGGGGCGATGCAGTTACCATTGCAAGGAGTCTCCAGGCCACTGCTGAAGAACAGTTCAGTTCTGTCTTGGGGAAAATGCAGGTAAGCAAAGCTCTTTGTGCACAGTCTAGTCTGATGTTTTGCTTTTCCTCCAGGTATTTTTTGGCTTTGTTGTGACAGTGGCTAGGAACTTGCATTGTGAACTAGAAACTAGTTCTGAAGTGCTGGATTGATAATACAGATGTTGCAATACTCTACAGATATCCTGGAGAACTCCCAGTGTGCAGTAGGTACTTGGATGGAAACAGGAGGGGAATGTTACTACAGTGTTTCTGTTTCCATTACTGAGTGTTTAAGACATGCTGAAAATGAAAAGTGCTTTGCTGCCTCATCTTGTCAGAGATCAAGCTCTTGCTAAGATGGACCAGCAGCTTTGTTATTTAGAATCTCCTTCAAACTTCAGTCATTGATTTACCTCTCCTTTGACTAAGTCAATGAGTTTTTAGGGTCAATTGGATTTATCTCAATGCTTCTTCCGTTCTTTACAGAATTGGTGCATGAGATATTTTTCATGGATGGCTCAGGGTCAGGTGTTTGCATGTTCATCACTTCCAGCCCAGGCTGGATTTTCAGATCTGATTTTCAAATGAGGCACATAAGGAAAGCCAGGCATGCTCTCTTCTGTAGTTATTTAACTATATATTTATTTATTTTTTTTTTTAAAGTAGCAGCTTCTGTTACCAGACAATGGGGATGGATTTATAAGAGTTTCACATTTGCAGTGTTGCCATCTCTTGAAAAGGAGGAAAAGAACTTCTCTAAATCAAAACCTAGCACCCTTTCTAAAGACAGCGTAGCTCACATTGTGATTTTGAAGCAGAAACCAGTGAGTGAGGTTTTGATGTTTTTTATGCAATAAGCTTAAACTATCATGGCAGTTTCCTCTAGCTTCAGTCCTAGAATCTGGGCCTGTGTTTCCTTAGTTCTATGTAAGCTTGCAATAGAAATACCCTAAGTGTGTTTTTTTTTTAATGGAGATAGTGCTTTGTCTGGCCTTTGTCCTCCTTTTGCATCCAAGAAGAGAGGGAGATATGATGTTCTCCTGTTTCTGTGCACGTTTCTCTGCACAAGAGGCCCCACAAACACACCTGCAGAACACTCGCCCTGTGTTGTAAATGAGTTGCATGAGAAGCTGCTGCCAAAGCTCGGTAAGAAATATGCAGTCTGAAGCTATAACACTCCTCTGTTTTGAAGAGGAGAAAGCTTTTATGTTAAGTGACTATACTTCACTTCTTGATCTGTGGCAGGGTTTTGGCTGTCTGACACGCTGCTTAAAACTTAAGTATGGAAGTCAGTATTGTGTCCACAGTCTTCATCTGTAAGCAGATTTCTCCTCTCCCCCCTGCTGTGATGTTGAGGTTCGGAATAGCATGAAACCTGCTGAATAACAGGAAAGACCATGTTCTGTTTTTTCTGTAAGGAGGGGAAATGTAATTAGTGTTTAGGAAAGAGCCTAAAATATGCTGCCTGCTTGTTTGACCACAGCAGGATTTAAAATCCTGTTGATTGGCTGTAATAGTCATCACTTCTTCTGTAGTATTGTTGCTGCTGAGAATGGGTGACTAGAATATGTCCAGTAGCAATCAAATAGGAGATAATTCTCTGCTGTTGACTCCCCCTCCCCATCAAAAAGTGGTGGAAAATATCTAGACTTAGTGGGGCAGCTCTTGCAGGCCAGGACAGAATAGAAAGACTGTCAGGAGAAGCTGGCCTTGAATGTTGCTGTGCCTGACGCTGCTGTACTTGCTTCAAGCACAGAATTTTATTTACTTTGGGATGACAACAAACCCTACCATAGCTTAGTGGTTGAATACTGAAATTTGTTTTCCAGCTGGTAATAGAAGCTCAGCCTTCCATGGCCATGATTTTGCCTATAAGTAGGTACCTGGTATTGCTTCAGGTAGCTTTGGGCTTGAAAGTGTTGATGTTGCATGATTAGGGACAGCATGGGAGGAGAGATCAGGATAGGGATATGTTGTGGTTTAATCTAGCTGGCAACTAAAAGCCACACAGCTGCTCATTCACCTTCCCCCACCCCTGGGGAATGGAGAAGAGAATTGAAGGGGAAAAGGGAAGGAGACTTGTGGGTTGAGATAAGAACAATGTAATAAATTAAAGGTATGAATGATAAAATAATAATCATATATGAAGTATATATGTGTATATATAATAATAATAATATTTACAAACAAGTGATGCACAGTGTAGTTGTTCACCACCTGGTGACCAGACCAATGCCTGTCCTGTCCTGGCAAATGATCCTGAAACAGGTAAGTCCCAATACTGCAATCCCAGATGATTGAGAGACTTGAAAAGAGAGCAAGAGAATGCCAAGAGACTGAGAGTCTGAGAGAGACACCATATCTATATACTGGGCATGACATTGCATGATATGGAATACTCCATTGACCAATTTTGCCCTCAATCCTACGTCTTAAGTTCAAATTGTAAGGGGAGTTGTGAACCCTTTGTCCCAGCCATGTTCCCCTCCAGCCTGTTGTGTTCCTGCACACTGGCAAAAGATGGGAAGCTGAAAAGTCCTCAATGTCTTAGCACCAACTATAAATACCAGTGCACTGTCAACATTCTTCTCATAACAAATCCCAGACTAAAACCAAAACACAGAGCTCTTCTAGCTGTTAAAAAGAAAAACTAACTCTGTCCCAGCCAAAACCAGGACAGGGTAAGAACTACTGAGTATTATAAGGTTTAGCTTTTTGTTATCCCTCCTAAGTATATCTTATGTGATATTGTAGCTCCCATCACCTGTTGTTTCTGAGCAGTGTATTGCTTCTAGTGAACTCCACAATTAGTGACCCTTCCTGGCAGTGTATGCAGAATAAGGCGTCTCCAGTTACGAGTATTTGAGAAGCTGTTAATGAATTTGTCCCATTAGTGGGGTTGAAAGACTGCTAGTGCCTCTGAGTGTCCTCAGTCTCTTCTTTTTTCCTGTCTCTTCCTGTAAATGTCTGTAGTGCCAGAGTCTCCACAAATTCCTTATTGTGGAGACAGGACAGCCTAGCTGTATGCCCATCTCTGAGGACCACTGGGTAGGCAGCAGGTTTTAAGTGCTTTTCTAAAAGTATTTCTATTATTGTTTGCAGGAACTAGGTAAACAGCAGGAGAACTTAACTGATCTCAGTGAGGATTTTGGGAAGAACTATGACCTCTCAGCCCGAGAACCATCAGATGCTCAAATGGACTTCTCCACTGCCCCTGGCAAGCCCCACGAACACAGCAGTGAAGGCCCTGCTTACTCTTACACTACAAATGGACCTTTTAGAAGTGTTGGTGAGACTGGAGATTCTGATATGGGTCAGAAGCCTTTCCCTCCCAAAATGGATGCAAGGTTATTTGGAGGCTTTAGGGACCCTGGAAATCCTTTTGCTGCTGCCTTTGGACAAAACAGGGCTTTTCACCAAGACCATTCCTCTGTTAGTGGATTAACAGCTGAAGATATTGATAAAGCCAGACAGGCCAAAACTGGTTCAGAGCAGAAACCCTACAAACAGATGGTATGTTTTTTTAAATTAAAGATTCTCAGTACTATGGTATCTATACTGGATTGTCTTTACTCACCCTCTCCTGCGTTTCTCTCATTTCCTCCTCTTCCACTATTCCCTTTTGTGGAGGCAAAAGAGAGAAGTGTCAGTAGTCTTTTAACTCTGATCTGTGATACTTACTTGGTCAATAGCTTTTCAAACTCTCCCTTCACACCTGCTCCCTCCATATCAGATGTTCGAGTATGAGAATATGTTTAAAAAGCTTCAGTTTTACATTAACAGGAGCTCTCCTTTCATTCACTAGACTCTAAGGATTCAGTGTGTGTGTTGATGCATGTTACAGTAACGAATGGTCTGTATTTCACCCCAGGTTTTGGGGTGAAATGTTGAGTAGGTGAGGACAGCTGTAGGATACAAAAGTTTCAAGACTGACCTGAGAGTCTGTCTTCTCCTTGAAGGGCCCTGTGGCCTTTATTTAGCTAGTTGTTTTGCTATTGCTATGAAGAGTGAATTGGACCTAAGCTCCTCCTTGTGAAGGCTGTGGCTTCCTGTACTGGGTATTGCAGTCCTTCTAGAGGTGGAAGGAACACTGCCCTGAGCGTTAGCAGATTGGAGAGTTGCATAGCTCACAATTGTTGCTTGAGGGCTTCATGCCCTTGCGTGAGACAGTGCAGAAAGGCTGCAGTGGAATTCACATTGGAAGTACTTGCCGTCTGCTCTGACCTTCTGCCTCCTTCCCCAAACCCAGTATCCGATGCTACTGTGGGTTCACTCACTCAGGATATTGCTTTGGTGAAACTGGAAAGTTTCTGCTGCTCCAGCTGTTGTGCGTGGGGAATTATCTATGGTACTGTGAATGTAATAACTTTCCATGAGTTTTAATTCCTTATGTAGAAGGGATTTTGAATTGGCATTGCACTGCTTCTCCAAGTTCAAATTATAAGGGCTGCTGAGGTGAAAGTAAAAATGGGATTTCTAAACATTGTTGTCAGCTTTTCTATCTTTCCCAACCTCTTGTCCACGCCTCTGCTTAATGTATGTTTCAGTTCCTGGTGTGTCTGTTCTGCAGTGTGTACGCTTAAAAATCTTGCAACATATATAAGGCTTGATGTTCAAGAAAAGCTTTCAAAGTTGCACTCTGGATTTACAGGTACCTGACCATATGCCCAGTTCACTTGTGGATTTCTCTTTGTTTTCGTTTCCCCCTCTCTCTCCCTGCAGCTCAGTGAGCAGTCCCGGGAGAGGAAAGTTCCTGTCACAAGGATCGGACGGCTCGCCAACTTTGGAGGTCGGTTTGCACACCCACGTTTGCAAAGTCACTATGCTTATACATACTGACTAATGACTGGCTGTGATGGTGCTCGTGCTGAAGCATTATTTCGTTCTATTTTATCGTTAAGCTTGCTAATAGGAAAGTGCTTTCCCACAAACAGCCAGTTAGCTCAGAGCTTGATTTGGGCTTTTTAATTACAATTATGGATCTTGGCCTTTAGTCAGAATGAAGTTATACTTTGAATCCTGCCTCCTGTCACTCTTACTGTATCTAACTGCTACTGTCATAGTACGGCACAGAAAAAAGCTGCTCACCTAAAGAGACCTTTCAGATGCATTCAGCAAGTACCTGTAAACAAGAACTACAGAGTTGGCATGGGTTTTCATTTGTCTTAAGATGGCAGCCTGAGATATGCCTGGAGCTTAGTTTTTTGTATACCTGTTCTGAAATGGAAAAAAAAAGTCATTAGTAGAACTGCACATCTTCATGGGCTGTGCCCTTTAAACGAGAGGGAGAGAGTGAGGTGCAAGTTGTTGTCTAGTCTGTACAAATACCCTGGTCCTGCACATGTGATTTCACTTTGAGGAAACTCTCCTTCTAGTCCTTACAGTATGCTGTTACTGTCAAGCATGGACAGCTGGAGCAGCTGTTATTTTAAATAATTTTTTCCCAAACTTATCCTTGCTATTTCTCTGAACAGTTAAATATAAAACATATCCTTTTGGTATTGATTTTTTGAGGGTTGGGAGATAATACTCAAGGTTTGATTTACTTAGCCATTGCTTATAAACCGTTTTCTCTCAGGAAGGATATAAAGAGCAAGCTTGTGAGATCAAACTAGCTGAAGCCTATGTGAATTTTATTTGCAGAATGGGACTTACTATGCTAAAAAGCAGCTAAATATCTGCAGTAGTATTAACAGATAGTGCTTATCTAATGTCTTATATCCAAAGCCATCAAAGGACTTAGCATATCCTTGAGAAAAAAGGGAACTATCACAGTATTGCAGGTGGAAAAGATGATCACAGCTAGTCTTACTTAGCTACTCATTAGAGGAGTAGTCCCTTTTTTTTTTTGACCGTAGTATTTTGAAAAGATAGTAGCCTATCTAGGTTGTGAACAGTCTCTCCCAAGAAGCATGTTAGGCCCTTGTGGCTCTTGTGATTCTCTTCCACAAAATTTGATAGAGAAGCACATGTGCAAAGTAGACATCCTTGTGCTATGGATCCCAGATGAAAGAAAAATAGCCTGTCAAATGTAATTCACATCAACTATTATATAAAAAACACAATCATTCTTCCTCTGTGTGTCTCTTTGTCAGAGTAATATGCACACTAGGAGGAGCTGGGGGCAGGCACTGATTCTGTGCAGTGCAGAAATAAACAGCAAGTGAGTTCTGTGATAACATAAGGTCTTAATGCTGGTCAGATCTCTTTAACCCTGTAGTTCATTGCAGGTACTCTGGATTTTCAGCATGCTTAGTATTCCTTAAAGGGAGGCAGGATTTATGATCTGCTTTTTGGAGTAACAAGACATCACTAAAACTCACTTGACTGACGTGTTTTTAAGCTGTAGTAGCATACAGGCCTCCGTTCTAATCTAGCCTTGATTTTTACGGAAAGTGTCACAGCACTTTTAGCTGTCCTCTTCCGAATTTATCTGTGGCTGCTTGCTGACAGCTGGTGGATGTCAAGTGGCAGACGACCAAATTTTCTGTGAACTTTGAGTTCCAGGGCTGTTGCTGTGTGCTCCAGCTCTTGGCACCCAAGGCTGTTGCATGAGGAAAGGCTGACTCATGCTTCAAGGGGAAGTGTAAGTAACTACCTGTCTCTTCCTAACCTCAGGTTAAAAAACAAAATGAAAAAACCCCACCAAACCAAAACCCATAAGGGAGAGTAAGAAAGATTGTTTATAAGCAGCATCCCCAGTCATACCTGTGTGTGATCTATTTTTTTTTCGGTCTTGCCCCTCACTTCTGGTTTTCAGTTTTATATGATTGAAATTGTTGGCAAGACAGAACTCTTGCTTTCAGGCTGCTTTTGGGGAGACATTGTGTGGCAAAAACGGTGTTCAGATTCTCCAGTCTCTGCAGTCTCTTCTTGATGTTCATTGCTTATCTTTTTCTCTGACTTTTTCCTTGCAACAACAAGGAGAAATAGTACTGTCAGTACACTGGCTAACAAACAACAGATGTGGCCCGTGGGTAGGTTTTTTCCCAGTTTAAGGAATGCTTTGGTAATATTTTGGTAGGCTGGGTAATGCTTGAAGAAGGCTTCTGAGGGTGTGATGAGTCTGAAGTAGTGTGGGCAGCCCCACATGGGAAGGATTACCTGTAAGGAACACTTCTTAGTCTGGATCAAGATTCCATCATTGATATGAGCTTTTAACAGCCTCTAGAACTGCGTGGAAAGAAGGTTTCCATTTATAGTGAGGAGCAGCTCCTGCTTGCTATTTGCTCCAAGTTCAGAGTGTTTTTTCCAACCTGCACATGGCCTTGAGAGAGCCAGTGCAATTGTGAAACACCATCAGCTAATTCTAGTGTGGCTTTTCCTGACTGGCTCCTCTCCGATGAGAAACGTTCCTTTCAAATTGCTACTTTATGAAGCATTTTAAATGCTTAAACCAGGGGACGTTAGCGGATGGCAAGAGCTGTGGTGTACCATTCGCTTTTACCTATTTTTGATTCCTCTGAAGTTGTTTGTGAGCTTTGGCTTATGGTTGACTGTTTTCCTCTTGGACTGTCAGCAGGGGAAGATAGTACTTGTGTGCCTCCTAGCTACTTACTGTCCTTGCTGTCAGTCCTTTCCGGATATTATTCTCAGTAGTGGTGAAAGAGTTAACGTGTACAATTCTTAAAAATATCTGCAAGCTGAAGAGTGAGGCTGATTAAGGGAGTCTCCTGAGGTCACAGGAGAAAGTTTCCAACTGAGATGAGAATTGATTTTTGCTTTCCTAAGACCCAAACTAACTTAATGTTTTGTGTGTTGGTTTTTTTTTAAGCTTGAAATAAACTGTTTCAAAGCTCAGTGGTAGGTGAGTTGGAATTTTCTTGTACCTGCACAGTGTGTGTTCTCTCATGCATTTTTCTTGTCTTGCTTTTTCAGTGGAAGTCAGAAACAAGGTGTAGGATGATTTAGTGAGAGTCTCCAATTACATAATAGGTTTTTAGGAGCACCTGCTGCTGCTGAGGGATGATGGTTAACAACTGGAAGAAGCCTCTTTGCAGGGCATGTCAGTGTTAACCTGAGTGACCCAGGTCTGTCTGCTTCAGAGGACATTCAAATGGTCAGAATTAAATACAGGGTTGGGGCGGGGGGTGTGTGTGATTATTTCCTGCTCTACTAGTGGCCTCTTCGCATTGCCTTGAAAATAATTAAGAGCAGGAGGCTGCTCCATATCTGCAAGGGAGTGTAGCTTAGAGCAAGTAAGCTTTTTGTGCACAATTTCTTGTGTGCTTTGGGGTGCCATTTTCATTTGAAGACCTCAGGAAATCATTGTGGTAAATATAATGGTTGAGGTAGATTATTTCCCTATCTCTACACTAGTCAAACCAGCATTTGACTCTGACTTTTCTTGGTGGGATAAAACCTACTTTTTTCTTTCTTTTTTTTTTTCCACGTTAGAAGAACATCATTTTAGACTTAGAGAAGATGGAAAGATGTTGAGTAGGTCAGAAGCAGAGTTCATGTAACTTTTCCTGGGGTTCAGACAGCTGAACTCCCATGCTATTGGCATGATCCCATTCACACTTGAATTGTTCCTTTTCCTGTCTTTGTATGTTTTTTTGTCATCTGCCTGATGTTATAGGGAATATTGATCTCTCAGCTGTGGTGTCAAGACACTATGGTGGGTGATGGACAAATTAGTAACAGAAGGCAGAAATACTTGGACTGCAGTTTGCCTGGCTTCCCACCTCTTCTGGGAGCAAATAACATTTTGCTGGAAGATAATTTTCTCCAATGCTTGCACGTAATACTGAGCTAATGTTTCTCTGTAATCAGCACAGGATCCTCTACTGAACTTTTGTCCTTTATATGTATTTTTGTATGCTCCTTGCAGCAGCTGGAGTGACTGCTGGTAGCTGTATTTATAGTACTAAATATAATCCTGGACTTTTATTTATTTTATATTTTATTCCCAGAATTGGAATTGGTAAAACAGATTTTTTCTGCAGTTTTTTATTCCATGCTTGTTTTGTAGCCTGGTGGATCATCAGTTCCACCCACACAGTTCTTGATCTTTTCTTTATTTTCATTCTCCTGTCCTTTGACTTTTCTAAGCAGTTTCTGACTCACTTAATCATATTCCTGGTTTGTAAGCTTATTATTTTAATGGTAAGACCCTTTTGCAATAAAGAAAATTCAAGAAGCTTGCAGTGAAATCTAGATCTAATGTGATTGTTGCAATTTTCCCCCCCAAAAAAAGAAAGCTTCCTTCTGGAAGTATCTTCTTGTTCAGTCTTAGTAAAATAGATACAGGATTGACAACTGCAGGATTCAGATTGTAACGTGAGTGACAAGTGAGTGTGGCTTTCTTCTGGTGAGCACTTAATGCTGAGAAAACTAGTGGGAATCGATGCACAACTATCTGCAGCTTGCAGCATGTTCTGTGTGGTGCTTGTGGTGTTTGACGTGACCGAAACCAGGGCACACGCTGCTCCAAGGGAGAGTCTCGCTCACCCCTGCGCTTGGCAAGCTGAGCAGAGTGATAACAGCCCATTCAGTCTCCTGTTTGTTTTGTTGTGTCAGTTGCTGAGCAAGAGGATTCTTCCTGAACCAAACTGATTCCAGATCATCTCTTGATGGGCTTGGTTTGACATGTAACGGGTGCTGGAGATGCCTGGAAAATGTCTGAAGAGGTACTCTGCTGGTATAAAACCAAGTGGCATTATCCAGACCTGAAATAATCTCTCTGCATAAAGTACAAAATGCAGGAGTGTGACTTTCTAGAGGTGCTCAGGGATGTTATTTTCCAAGGTGCTGAACTGTGGCTGTTCAGTGATGCTGAAAATTGTC